ATAAGAAATCAGCAGCATCAGAAGGTAAAGGTTCGCGACTCTAGGTGGCGGTGCTCATCTCCGTTTCAAAGCCAAAAAGCCAGCGCTGTCCGAAGATGTCTCTGTGGTCATGTGGTCAGCATGACCAAATGCCAAAGGCGCACGGAACGCTGTTACCTTCCCACCAAAGGTGGTTCCTATTTTTCTACTTGCATTTTTACATGCTTTCGAACTGCTAGGTTGGCAGAAGCTGGGACAAGTAATGGGAGCTCACTCCATTATGTGGCGCTAGGGATTCGAACCACTGAACTTTCTGATCGACAAACTCAGCATCTTAGTCACTGAGCCACCGCTCAGTTCTAATTCTAGTCCTGCTTTAGTCAAAATTCAGTTGATTGACCTTGGGCGGACACTTTCTCTCAGCCGTAGGAAGACGTCAAGGACAAACCATTTCTGAAAACACCAGCAAAGAAACTTCAGCTGCCAATTCTGTCTAGAAAGCACACACATTCCTGAAAAAAGGACACTAACTAGGTCAGCATTTTGCAGCTCGGAAGAGACAACAAATAACATTCCTGCGTATCCACAGGAATCAAGTTACCTTTATGTTTTGGCATTCTTTTTGCCAGTTCTTTAGTTGCAGGAATAGAGACTCCACAGAAATATGGTGCACAACCAGTTTGTTAGAGAATGTTTCCAAAAGCATGTTTCTGTAATGACTAGCAAGTCTCTAACAGATTCAGACAGTGAGGAGGTTGGGGAGGAACATGGGCCAGTCCTGGAGTCTGGGGAAGTCTCTGATGAGGGCTCTGTGTCAGAGGCAAAGTGGGGGCCAGAGCCATATGCCAGTTATCAGCTGCCTTCAGAGTCAGACATCAGTGAGGCAGATGAACAGCTGGCACCTATTCCCTGTGTACGCATGCACAGTTGCCAGAGGAAGGGAACAGCTAAAGAACAGAGGTCAATTTGGGAGTACGGCCACAGGTGGACGACGAAAGGCCTCTCCCAGAGGGAATAAAAGAGGAGCGAAAGGAGAGTGGAGTTTGCAGGAGTTGGTTCGCTTAATTGGTTCTTTTGCAGATATCGGCCTGTCAGCTCTCCAAGCCAGATAAGGTCTGTGACTGTAAATCCTCCCTTGAAAGACTTTGCTGTATGTGAATGAGCAGAATTCATGGTAAATTAATAAAAGGGATTTTTGTCAAGAAGTCTGCTTCATGCTCTCGGGAAGCCTGGGTCAGAGCACCATGTAGCTAAACCAACTCAGGATACAAAAGCCGGAATTTTTTCAGGATACTTTGAAAACAAATCCTGGAAACAATGCAAATGTCTACGGATTGTTTAACATGTAAATGTAAATAAAAGCTGTAGCTGCCTTAAAGATAAGTGGACAAGAAGACTACTAAGGTAACATTTGTCCTCTTACTTACTGTTCCACATGATTTAGGTCCACCATGAAAAAGTGTGCAAGCCATTCTCACAACCTCTGCTTCCATCTTCCTCACACCTGGGAATACATCTGGATGAAGTGGATTAGTCCATGCAAATTCCTCATAAACCTTGAAGGAAAAGGAAAATACTCCCTTGAAACTATGCTTCCACCCATGTTCTTTCCTTCTGTAACTCCTTTTCCTTCATAAAGCTGTTATTGTCCACTTATATATAGAATGCAGCCACCTCTTTCTATTTTTAGTTCACAAAGAATTAGCAGGTAGTCCTCATCTTGCAACCACAATGCAGCCGAACATTTCTGCTGCTAAGCAAGACAGTTGTTTAATGAGTTTTGTCTCATTCTGCAACCTTTAGTTCCACAGTTAAGTGAATCATTGCAGTTGTTAAGTTAGTAGCATGGTTGTTGACTTCCCCATTGACTTTGCCTGTCAGAATTTCACGAAAGGTGATCACATGACTCCAGGACACTGCAACTGTCATAAATGAGCCAGTTGCCAAGTATCCAAATTTTGATCGCATGTCCATGGGGATGCTGCCCTTGCTAGCATGTCCCAAGCACTCTCAGGGAAGAAGTATTTTAAGAGGACCTTGAATCAACTACCACAGACAGGGATGTCAAACTCAAGGCCTAGCGGCCAGATTCGGCCCATATGGTGCTTAGATATGGCCAGTGTGGCCGCCCTGGAAACAGAGAAGGACTGGCCCGCAGTGCCTCTGTCAGCGAAAATGGAGCTTGGTAGGGCCGTGAGCTCCGTTTTTGCTGGCAGAGGGCTGCAGGAGGCAGTCGCAGCTGAAAACGGAACTCAGAAGCCTGTTTTCGCTGGCAGAGCACTCAGGCCACCACAGACGCCCCCAAGACAAGTGACATCGAGCTGGCCATGCCCACCCTTGCCATGCCCACTCCAGCCCACCAGATCAAACACAACCCTGATGTGACCCACAATGAAATCGAGTTTGACACCCCTGTACTAGCAGAAAAACTTCTCTTGACCCTTCACCACTTAAAGAACCAGTTCCCAACCAGTTCCCAATGTCTTCCTCCTGAAATTTTTAAAATCCACCAACATTTTGTTGACATGAACCTGAATCTTAATAAAATGGTCATTTATTATTATCTGGATCTTTACATCACAATTGTGATGTAAACTTCCTTTCTCAGATTCTACCTGCTTTAACAAAGCTGAAATAATACACTATTAAGGTAAAGATAAAGGTTCCCCTTGCACATATGTGCTAGTTATTCCCGACTCTAGGGAGCGGTGCTCATCTTCGTTTCAAAGCCGAAGAGCCAGCATTGTCCGAAGACATCTCCGTGGTCATGGGGCCGGCATGACTAAACGCTGAAGGTGCACAGAATGCTGTTACCTTCCCACCAAAGTTTG